ATGTTTCCTTTCCTTTTCACTCAGTTTCGGCAGCTTACGTTCCCTTTCACTCCAGCTGCTACGTTCCCTTTCACTCAGTTTCGACAACGTTTCCCTTTCACTCAGTTTCGGCAGCTTACGCACAGAGAGTCAGTTTAACGTTTAACGATATACGTTCCCTTTAGTTTCGGCAGCTTCGTTCCTTTAAGGTTCCCTTTATAAGAAGAATTTCATCAGTTTATTTCCCTTTCATGTGTCATTTACGTTCCCTTTTTTCCATGTTTTTCAAATCTTTCTCATTACGTTTCCCAGTGTTAACGTTCCCTTTAATAGCTTATGCTTACGTTCCCTTTCACTCCAGTTTCCCTGCCGAAAATGTTTCAGCTTCGTTCCCTTTCACATTTCAATAATACATTGTAGCTTCAGTCCCTTTGTCCAGTTTTTTGTTTCCCTTTTTTCAGTTTTTGTTCCCTTTCACCAGTTTTGACTTTTTTTTTTCTGCTGTTTATTTCATCAGGACACAAATCGGCTTTTTCCCCTTTCACCAGTTTCGGCAGCTTACGTTCCCTTTTCAGTGCATTACCTTTCCCAGTTTGTTCAATATTTTTATTTAGACATTGAATTCTGAAAACAACTCATCAATGTTTCAGCTTACGTTCCCTTTCACTCCAGTTTGACATTTCAACATTTCGGCAGCTTACGTTCCCTTTCAAGTTTTTTTCATTAAATTATCTCAGTTTCTGGCAGCTTACGTTCCCTTTGATTGTCAAAAGGGCAGCATTACGTTAAGGACAGAGCATAAAAGAATTGATTATTTTAGTGAAGAATAAAAGTTTCGGCAGCTTACGTTCCCTTTCACTCCAGTTTGAACGTTCACTCAGTTTCGGGAACAGTTTGCTTACGTTGACAGTTTTTATTCCCTCAGAGTTCCCTTTTCACTCAGTTTACGTTCCCTTTCACTCAGTTTGCTTACGTTCCCTTTCACTCAGACGTTCCCTTTCACTTTTATAAGAACCAAAAATCAGTTTGTTTTTTTCAGTTTATCATCATAAAAGAAGTTTAACGTTTGAAAATTTCAGTTTCGGCAGTTCGTTCCCTTTCACCAGTTTGCTTACGTTCCCTTTCTCCAGTTTCGGATTACGCCCCCTTTCCCTTTCAACGTTCCCTTTCATCCAGAAGACGTTCCCTTTCACTCAGTTTCGGCGGCTTACGTTTCCCTTTCACAGTTTCGCCCTTCCTCACCGTTCCCTTTCACTCGGTTTCAAGCTTACGGACAGCTTCGTTCCTTTAAGTTTATACGTTTCTCAGTTTCCGTTCCCTTTACAGTTCAGTTCCCTTTCGGGTTTAGCTTACGTTCCCTTTTATGTTCCCTTTTCCAGTTTCCTCCAGTTTCGGCAGCCGTTCCCTTTCACTCAGTTCCCTTTCCTCAGTTTCGGCAGCTTACGTTCCCTTTCCTCCAGTTCCCTTTCGGCAGTTTACGGCTTCGTTTTCCCTTTCACTCAGTTTCGGCAGCTTCGTTCCCTTTACTCAGTGCTCGCAGCTTACGTTCCCTTTTAGCTTCGTTCCTTTCACTCAGTTTCGGCAGCTTACGTTCCCTTTCACTCAGTTTCGGCAGCTTACGTTCCCTTTCACTCAGTTTCGGCAGCTTACGTTCCCTTTCCTCCCAGTTTCCGTTCCCTTTCACCAGTTTCCTTTTACGTTTCCCTTTCACTCCAGTTTCGGCAGCTTACGTTCCCTTTCACTCAGTTTCGCGCTTCCCTTTCCCTTTCCCTTTCACTCCAGTTTCAGCTTACGCCCTTTCCCTTTTACTCAGTTTTTCAGTTTGCAGCTTACGCTATTTAGTGAAGGAAACAGTCAGATCCTGTGTCTATAATCAAGTCGTCAACATTCCACAGTATTCCAAAGGAAAAGGTTAGGGAGGAAACCTCTATCAATGCAGGAAATAGTGATAACAGCTACTGGACTTGAAAAATCTATTTTCCTAAATATTTTTTTAAGAGAAAGATTTTACAAACTTCAACCGAAAGCAGTATTGGTCTTTGGTCAATGAATGTCAAATGTTTCCATGTTAGGAAACATCTAAAACTACCATTACCATTGATTCCCAGATGGTTGTGTTGGTTCCAGTCTTTAGGAATGACTACAAAACACTTACCCCTCCCCAATTTATAGGCAGAAGCACATAAATGCATTCTGAGATTTTTTTCTAGCCAATAAAATAGGCTAGCTCTCAGTTTCATCTGACTCAGTCCCAGTCTGTCTTGTCTTGATGTCAGAACACTATGTTCGCTTGTCTGAACTTGCTTGTGTGTCACATGCCAATTCTTAGTTTGCAAACTTTTTTCCTTATTACTGTTAATTTCTCTTGCATAAACTGTTTGCATGATTTATATTATTTTTTTATCCTGTTTTATTCTTTTCATTTTTTGTTATTACAAACTTTGTCAACACTGCTTGTTGGACAGTTCTGTCATTTAATTATATTTAATAATGGCTACTGAGTCTGTGGGTGACTCTTTTTCCTCACTGATGGTAGGTGAATCCACAAGTAATAAGTGTCCTTTCTAAGGAATTTTAACCCTTTTAAGTGGAGACCCATTTTCAGAATAGGGGTAACTTCATCCTCAAGATATTGCACATTCATTACAACTGAGTGTTTTATAATACCACTTCGACACTTGTAACTTTGGCTGAGACTAAAATCTCACTGATAAAAAACACTAATATACTTTTAGAATTTTGTGGTAGTTACACCAGTACATGAACCACAAATCAGTACCGTATTGTGGGAAATTTTCTGGTCTTCATGGGGCTTCTGTTTTTGACAGATACATTAACTACTTTATCAGCCTTGGTCAGTCTGTTGCTTATTTCACTTTTCAGTCTCATACCAGAGGGCATGACACTAACTAGGTAGGTAAGGTTCTGGGTCACTTCAGTCTATGCAGCCTTGTGGGTGGCAAATTATTTTCCACTGTAATCACAGCACTAGACTAGCAACTAGATCCCATAATTTTTACAGTTGAAATGCCTAAATGTAACTGTAGGTTCTATGCTAATAGTTTCTTCTCTCACATTTCTTACATATGGAACTCTCTTCCAGCTTCATACATTCCATTATTTTACAGTTGAAATGCCTAGATGTAACCATAAGTTCTATGCTAATAGATTTTTCTCTCACACTTATCACTTGTGGTGTTACTTTTTAGCATATTGATTCCCTGTCAACATTGAGCTTCAAAAATTTAAATGCAATGTCAATAGCCATCTTCCGTTTTCTTAATTCCTGTTCTTTTATTTCTCTTTAATAATGTGTTTCTTTTTCTTATATTCTTTCATACTTAGTAATCCCTTGTGTCTTAGTGGCTTTATTGTCTTGCTTGGGGTGAAATGATTAAGAAAAAAGAATTGCTCTAATGTACTTTCAGGATTTTATGCAGATATACGAGGTGTGTCTGAAAAGTAACCAGACTCGTGTGGCAAGCAGTTCATTTTAATTCCAATAAACAAACTATATGGTTTCCCCTTCAAAGTAATCCACCTCAGATCAAATGCACTTTTCCTTCTCTGCCATGCTTCTATGCACTGTTAGAAGAATTCTTCTTAGATCCCCTTCATCTTCATGGCCCTCTTGCTGGACTCCATGCCTTCCACAGTCCCTTTCATGATCTACTTGAGCTTGGGGAAAACAAAAAGTCACACAGAGCAAAAGCAGGTGAATTGGAAGGTTGTTCCAGTATGGCAATGTTCTTCTCAGCCAGAAACTTCCAGATGCTAAGGGCATCGTGAGCAGGTGCATTGTTGTGGTGCAGCAGCCATGATTTGTCTTGCCACAACTCTTGCATGTGAAAGAAAATGCAATGGTTGCAGAAAGATAAGATTACAGTTATATATTCCCAAGATATCATGTTAAATGATAACACAATCTGCTTATTCGTCTTTCAACCATAGCTCATACAACACAGCCAGTCCAGTTACTTTTCAGACAGACCATGTATAATCTTTCAGACAGAGCATGTATAATCCAGTCTGAGGATTTGTCACCATAAATTTTTTTCTTTCATGAGGTTTTTCTTTCATTGGCTACGTTAGGGTAGTCTACCAAATCCATTGCTATTGATATATTGTTCCTTTTCAGATACATTTTTATTATTGCCATAAACATGATATTTAGTGGTTACAGAAATGAAGGGCTCAATTACATCTCTTGGTCAAAAGCACACCTAACTTATGTCGTTACTCTGATATAAGGAGGATGCAGGTTCAAACCCTGCTAAAAGGCACAATTTATTCACTAATTATGATATTTGTAGTAATCAGGTATAATATCAGATTATAAATTTTAATAACTGTTAATTCCTTAGGAATATATATTTCTTCTTCCTAATATTTGGAAACTGGTTTCTGTTTCTTTGATAACAACTATCCATGGGTTGATGGGTAAAAATTGATCGCTCTTTTCTTCTATTTTAAAAAACCTCAGTCAAATGATGCCAGCCTTTAGGCTATTAAGAACTTCTTTTTTTCTGCTGGCTGAGAATTACAAAATAATTTATCTTGGTATAAAAGATAACCTCTTCAAAATGTACCTCTATATTTCTGATTGTTTAAAAGGCCAAGTAAAACAAAGACAGAGCCTATTCTGTTGTTAACTGCCTCTACCATTCATCCATGTTTAGAACATTGCAGCCACATACGATCCGGTGATCTTGCTATATATCTAGAGCTCCCTGATAAAATCCAAAGAAGAATCAGCAATATTATAGGCTCTTATTAGGCATTTCGGCTTCAGTCACTTTCCCACCAACATAAACTTGCCTCCCTGTGCCTTTTCTATAAATATTTTCATGGTAATTGCTCAGATGAGCTCTTCACTATGGTGCCTAGACTTTTTAAATTTAAGGGCAGTACTAGACTGACAATGAGGTCTCACCAATTTACAGTTGATCTGGCTAGATGTAACCATGAATTCTAGGCTAACAGTTTCTTTTCTCACACTTCTCCCTTGTGGAACTCCCTTCCAGTTCCCTGCTTTCAAGCCAACTTTAACCTTCAAAAATTTAAATGCAATGTCAATTGCTATCTACTATTCTTCTGATTACTCTTTTCTCTTCCTGCTCATTAGTAATGAGCCTGTTTCTAAATCTTCCACACCCAGTAACCCCTTGTATCTCAGTGGCTTTACTGCCTAGCTTTGGGTGAACTTGATTAGAGTTAATGTCATAGCATTTGTTCTGTTAATGTAATTGTATTTATTCAGATAATATAGCATTTATTTTGTAAATATAGTATTTATTCATTTAATATTATATTTAATCAGATGTCATAGCATTTATTCTGTAAATATCAGAGTATTTATATATTTACTTAATATTATAATATATATTCAGATATAATAGCATTTATTCTGTAAATAATCTATTTATTCATATATCCTAATATTTAATAATATATCAGTATTTATACGGTAAATGTCATCGTATTTATTCAGTTAATATAATATTCAGATGTCATAGTATTTATTCAATTAATATTATAATATTTAGATATACTATTTATTCAGTCAATATTAAAATATTTATTCAGATATAACATTTATTCTGTAAATGTTATTGTATTTTGGGGACTAAATTTGTTACATTGGTGCAACTACACATGATGAAGGAATGCTGGGAATTTTATATATATATTTATATATATATATATATATATATATATGTTATATTCCATGTGAGCTCATTTATCTCATCCTCATCACCACTGTTATATTCCATGTGAGCTCGTTTCAAACATCCTAGTCACCACTGTTATATTCCGTGTTAAGGGAATAAACACATAACACCAGGTGGATACTAGAAGAAAGGTTTATTGTACACAATAAGTACAATATGAAATACAGTACAGTTATACACACAAGTCAATCTAGTAGTGAGTGCCACTAATTGGAAGGTCGGATGTGCTTGTGTCATCTCTATCACTCCTCTCTAAGTCTCTCATAGACAGTTGACTTTATAGGCACTTTTTACCTATAGTGTAATCATTCATGGGGGTAACTGGTTATTCCATTACATCAATATATATATATTAGTGAATGAGCTAACCAACTTCATTTAGATTCTTTTTCTTTCTATTACTTTTGTTATTAGATATCCCACACTGTGATAATAGATCTGCCAGGAATGGTGAAATGTTGTAAGAGTCAAGGCACAAATTTACTGTAGATGACTTTGCAATTAAAGCACTCTCTAAACATTTTTGTCTTAGCGAATTGTTTTCTCCTTTGATCAGAGTAGCATTTTTTATCTCAAAATTGTAGTCAGTCTCATTACGGTGAGCAACTAACGCATTTAATGCACTGTTTTGCAATATGTTAATATTATAATATTTATACAGATATCATAGCATTTATTTTAAAAAAGCTATATTATTTATTCATTTCATATAATATTTATTCAAAGATCATAGCAATTATCCAGTTCAATATTTTACTGTATTTGCCTCTGAGTTTGAATTTACAGAATAGAGTAGAAATTAACAGAAAATAAAAAATTTACAAA